TATGTAGTCTTTAAAAACTGCTACGAGGCAGATGAAAGATGTAATGTAACCTAGAACTCTAACATCAGAGGCTGGGGCAGGAGGATTGAGTTTGAGGTGAGTCTAGGTTACACAATGAGACCCTTCCCTTCCCAAAGACTCCCCCAGGATAGTGGAAGGAGGGAAATAAGGATCAGAATGAAGATAAACAAAACAGAGATGAGAGTAACAGCAGAGAAAGTGGATTCACCAAAAGTTGGTTCTTCAAACATGACTAACAATATTGGCAACCTTTTCCCAGATTAACTTTGAAAAAAAAAAGAGATGGATATTACTAAATTCTGAGACCTTACCATCAATTCTCAAGAATACTAAGAATTTCAAGAGCACTCAATAGTTATATGCTAACTGTTGGGTGGCCTAGATGCACCGGACAAATTCCTAGAAACCTGGATTCTTCAGAGATGGAACTGTGAATGAAACATAAAAATCAAATAGATGCTTAACCAATAAGACTGAATAAAAAAATGACAAAACTTCCCAGACTTTAATCGAAGTCCAGCTTAGTGTAACAAAGGCCACATATGGGAACCCAGAGCCAACATCATATTCTGTGGGGACACGACAGAGTTCCCTCTAAGATCAGGAAGAACACAGGACGTTGCTGTGACCACTTGTGTTCAAGAGACTCTTAGGTGTGTTATACAGAGCTATTAGGCTGGACAATCAAATAAAAGGTGTCTGATTATAAGGTGATAATATATATATCTGTAGATGACATGAACTTGTCTATGGAAAATCCTTAACATTCTACAGAGAGGTCTCAGAACTAAATGAGCAAAACTAGCAAAACTGTCAGCTCACAAAATGAACATGGTTAAATAAACTCTAATTCTGTATACTAATATTGACCATGGACAATTAGATTTCCATTTTTTCCTGGTAGTAGTGGAGCTTAACCTAGGGCCTCACGCATGCTAGGCAAGTGTTCAGTCACTGAGCAATAGTCTCAGCCTTAACAGTGAACAGCTGGAAAGGAAATCATAAAATAATTTATGAGAGCGCAAAAAAGAATAAAATACTTACAATTAACTCCACCAAAGAATTAAAAGACTCAACCCAGAAAACTACCAAATAAGGGATGATGAAAGGAGACAAGAAAGGAGCACCACTGGGGTTGATGGGTGGAAGACTATGTTGTTGTTGTTGTTGTGCAGTACTGGGTATTGAACCCAGGGCCCTGTGCATGGTAAATGAAGCTCTATCACTGAGCTATATTCCAAGTTCTACCTTTTAATTTCGATTTTTGAAACAGAATGTCACTAAATTAACCAGGCTGGCCTTGAACTGGCTGTGTTAGGCAGTCTTTGACTTTGGTACTCCTGCCTCAGCTTCTTGAGTGGCTGGAATTACACTGATGAGACACCTTGCCTGAAAGACTTTTTTTTTAACAGATGACAATATTACTGAGTAGTCTATCAGTTCTATATGCACATCAGATCAAAACCCCAGTGGCATTTTGTACAGAAATAGAAAAGTCCATTCTAGCTGTCCTGGAACCTACTTGAGACCAGGCTGGTCTCAAACTCTTGGAGATCCTCCTATCTCTGCTCCCAAGAGCTGGGGTTAGAGGAAGACCATTCTAGTTGTCCTGGAACTCACTTGAGACCACCAGGCTTGTCTCAAACTCTTGGAGAGCCTCCTGTCTCTGCTCCTGGGGTTAGAGGTGAGTGCCACCACACCCAACCTTAAAAGTATATTGAAAAAGAAGTATAAAATTGCGGACATCCTTCATGATTTCATACTTTCAGTACAAAGCTGCAGTAATCAAAATAGTATACTATTAAAATAAAGGCAGACTGACAGGTCAGTGAAATAGAGTCGGAAAGCCCAGAACCGCTCATGTACACTGGCCAGTGATTAAATTAAAGATTTGTTGATACGATGAATATGTGTGTTTATGGAGAGTTTCTGCATCTATATTATAATGTGCTGTCAGACATGAGCAGTTGGCGTATCATCACTTCATTTGTCACTTTTTCTGTTTGTTAGAACATTCATCTCTGCTGGATGAATTAGTTTGTGTAACCCAGAGTTGCCCTATTGAGTTACCTAACTTGGAAGGCGTTCTGGAATCCAACTGCACCTCGGTGACAAGATGAGTTTTGATCAGGCTGCTAAGATTGTTCAATGATGGAAAAATGATGTTTGAAACAAGGGATGTTGGGAAAATAGTTTATCCAGGCAAAAAGAATGAAGCTAAGCCTTCACCTGACATCATATAAAAATCAACTCTAAATGGATTAAAGATCTAAAAAAGTGGATCAGGAGCCAGGGTGAAAGCATCTTGAAATTAGATTTGGCATGGTTTCTTTGTTATGAGGCCAGATGCATAGGCAACAACCAAATGGATATTTGGACTTTAGCACAATTGAAAATGTTTGTGCATCAGAGGATGTTGTGTGTCATGTGACCCAGCAGGTCTCTGTGACATTTATTTATTTATTTATTTATTTTTATTTTTACAATAATCAAGGGCACTAAATGTCTATCTGAGGAGGAAAAAGTAAAGAAAATGTGATGTGTATTTGCACGGCAGTGATGTTAAACCTTTGAAAAGAACACGGTTCTGTCAATGTGACTATGCGAAAGACCCTAGAGGACATGATGCTGAGTGAGAAAACCACGCACAGAAAGACAATACCACATGAGCCCACTCAGGAGAATCTGAGAATCGCTGTGGAAGTAGAGAGAAGAATGATGACAGTTACAGAGACTGATGGCAGCAGGAGGGAATGGGGAGTTGCTGGCCAAGGGACACAAGGTTTCACGTAGACCAGGGGTTAAGTTTTGAGAAGTTTGACACAGCAGGAGAATTGTTGTCCACTATAATGGATTGCAAAGAAATGAACAATAAATTTCAAATGTCATAGCATAAAATGATAAAGGAAGAAACAGATGTGTTGATTAACTTGGTCTGATCATTCTAAATTGTATCTAAATATTATTTCTCCTACATGTATTGAATTATGATATCAATGTAGAAACCACTAAACACTAAACAAAGAACTTTATCAGGAAAATGAAACTCTATTTCCAGAATGACAGAAAATACTTGTAAATCAAACATCTGGCAAGAGGTTAATGTTCAGAGTGTACAAGAAATTCCAACAAAGCAAACAAACAAAAGAAAACAAACAACCCAACAGGAACACAGGAGGAGGTGAATGGGAAGGAATAGACTTGACAGGAAGTGTGTGCATGGCCAATGAGCACAGGGAAAGATGCTCCACTTCCTTCTCAGTCATTGGCAAAAGGGAAATGAAAATCACAGTAAAGAACCAACTCCCATCTCTTAGGATTCCCTCCATTAAAAACAAAGATGGGAAACAGGAGTTTTGGAATATAAAGCAGTTAGCACTCTGGGGCATTGCTGAATGGGAGGGTAAAATGTAACCAGGAGACATGGCACTGAGGCTCCCCAAAGAGTAAAGACATGCTTGCAACTCAGTAAGTCTACATGCAGGATTGTAGGGGGTGGAGTGGATTCACAAGAAGTGTTTGCAATGGACAATGATGGTGGTTACACAGAAATAGGAATAGACCTCATGACGCTGAACTATACATTTCAGAATGTCTAAAATCTTATATATCAAAATATTTATAGGATGGGTGTTTTGCCTGCTGTATTTCTTTGCACCACATGCTTTTGTGGTACCTGAGGAAGATAGAAGAGGGTGCTGAATTCCTCAGAGCTTCAGTTACAGACAATAATAAGCTGTCTAGTGGATGCTGGGAATTGAATCCCTGTCCATTGGAAGAGAAGCTAGTGCTCTTAACTGTTGAGCCATGACTCCAGTCCCATAAAAAATACACACACACACACACACACACACACACACACACACACACACACACACACAAAACTACACACTTCCAAAAATAACAGAAAAAAAGTCTTTGCAAGGAGGTCATGTTGTAAATGTCAGCATGAGGATAAGAAACTCATTATATGGGCCAATAAGATGTCTCATTGGTAAGACTGCCTGCCATACTGCCTCCCAGTACCTATCCCCAGCTGCCACAGATAAATAAATATATAAACAAATTTGGGCCAGTCAAGTGGCTTAGCAGATATAGGTCTTGCTCAGCCACCCGAGTTCAATCCCCAGTCCCAAGAGAACTGGCTCCCACAAATGGTCCTCTGACCTTCACATGGGCATGGAACATACACAGAGAGTGAATAAATAAGCAAATATAGTAAGAAACTCAATGCAGGTCCTTTCTATGCATGGACTTTTTATTTATGGATCCAAATAACCTTGGAAACAAACTACTTGGAAAAAAACATGTATACAGTGAGTAATGTATTTCTCCCTTATTTAACACGTTAACACTAGTGCCTATGCAGTATTCTTATTAGGTGTTGGAAATAATCTAAAGAGGATTTGAATGTTTGTGAAGGTGTGTAGAGTAACATGAATATTTGACTGGATTCTGAGAGTTGACTGTGTGTTTGACTCAGACCCTAAACTCTGAATCACTGTGTGTTTCTATTGGCTACATTGACATCTATTGTTGTTGTTATGGACAGGCTGTCTCAAGTTTACCTGGGCTGTCCTTGTCATCCTATTCTGCCTGCTTCTTGCTCTCTCTGTGTCTCTGTGTCTCTGTGTCTCTGTGTCTCTGTCTCTGTCTCTGTCTCTGTCTCTCTCTCTCTCTCTCATAGACAGGGTTCACTGTACAGCCCTGGATAATCTGGAGCTCACTACAGTGACCAGGGCGATTGGGAACTCACAGAGATCCAGCTGTCTCTGCCCTGGTTTGCTGGGTTAGAGGCGTGCAGCACATGCTCAGCTTGCTTGGTGTTTTATCATGAAATGAACGTCCAGCCATCACCAAGCTGACTGTATTTGTATCTTGAGCTCTGTTTTTCTCCTTGTGACTTTTGCCCATTTTGTTGATAAAGAAATTGCCCCACCCCAACACTATGGAGTATTAAGGGAGGAGAGGGCACTCACCTATTATGTCCAGCTGGATGGGGTTACTCCTCTTGGTACTGACTGGATTGGAGACCTCACACTGATACTCCCCAGAATCCTCTCTCCTGACAGGGTCTATGCTGAGGGTGCTGTTGTTGTTGGACAGCTTCATCCTGCCCTTGAGGGCCAGACTCTGGCCATTGAAGAGCCAACGGATGGAGATCCCTGTGTCTTCTGAAGAGCAGGTCAGGTTCACAGATTCCAGTTCTTTGACTGTGGTGTTGATGACTTGGATGATGGGCAGAGTCACTGCCTCTGTGGATAAACAGTGGAGGGGACAGAATGAGAGTCCTTCACCCTCAAATATCTCAGCCAGCTCACAGGGCCCTCTGCAAGATCACATGTTTGGGTTTAAGATATGGTCTGTAAGGAGAGAGCTGAATCTTCCCTTACCCAGATCACCCACAGTGACCCCTGACTCGAGGTAAGATTAAACACTCAGAGCCTCTTGGTCAGAAATCTCCTGGGGGTATGTTTTTTCCCATTGATTTTTTTTTGTGCAAATTCTTGTCTGACACTTTCTGTGAGTGTGAACAGTCAAGTTCCTCCATTATAAAATGGCCTTCTATTTCTTTTTTATTAAATAATATATCATGGGGTTAAGATGTGAAGATAGCTCAGCTCATCTTAGAGGATTTAAATCCTAGACATCAGGACTGGAAGAAATCCCAAACTAAATAATTTCAGCTTGAACAAATATTTTCTTTTATGCCCCATGGATATGGATTAAACACCACAGAAAAGTAGTGAATTGCCACAGCATTGATAACAGCTTGTCACTTTAATCCTTGATACTATTTTTTTTTTTTTAGGGCAGGTCTCAGTGTATCATACAGGCTACCCTAGTTCTTGCCATGTTGTTCACACTGTCTTAAGGAGAACTCAAAGAGAATTACCTGCCTCAGCCTCCCAACTGCTATAACTAGAGGTCCACCATCCTTAGATCTTACCATAGAGATCTCCTGGCTCTTTCCTTGTGCACTCCTCTACATGGAGACTCCACAGAGGGGTGTCTGTTCTCCAAACCAGTGTACTCCACCGTTCTCAGTGATTACCTCAGGTGCTGGTGCTCAGAGCTCACATGGACTTTCAGAGCCAAGACAGTTCAGAGCCGGCTAACCTGTGGCTCCTCTTTCCACTTTCCCATTCCTGAACTCAAGGACTCTTGAGGTTCATCACTGACATTTTATTTTACTTTGCTTTTTTGCTTGATTTTTTTTTTTTGAGGCAGGGTCTCACTTGTAGCTTTGACAGACCTGGAACTTGCTATGTAGACCAGGCTGGCCTTGAACTCATACTATCTACCTGCCTCGCTCCCTCCTTAGTGCTGGCATTAAAGGTGTGCTCAACCACTCTCAGCCGACATTTGTTTTTTGTTTTTTGGTTTTTTTTTATGAAAACTGCTTGAGGCTTTATTAAAGTTGTTTAACGACCTAACCCCATGTTAACTTGGGTCTTTCACCCACCCGCCATGGCGGATGGCTAGCAAAGACAGCTCGAAGAGTCTGCATAGAAATCTTATAGGGCAGCGTAAGGGGAGTGTCCAGGGGTACACACAGGCTCACGATTGGTGTGTCTCCAGGCTTGGAGGGCTTGCCCTGTGTTGATTGGTCAACTGGTTGTTATGGCCACCTCTCAGGGTGGTTGCTATGCTCTTTGCGTCATTGCTGTGCACTTGTCCGTAAAGCACACCCAGAGCCGTAAAACATAGCACCACCAGCTAACTTCTGATTGGTTCCTTGCCACGAGGCAGGCACCTAACCTCTAGTGACCAAGGCAAGGGCAGACAAGCACATGTTCAGCTGTTATGGCTGCCGAAATGGGGAGCTGGTCCCTTTATTCCCCCAATTTTTTTTTGGAAATTCCAATCATGGAATTGCTGTATCTCTAGCGCCCCCATTAGGGAGTGAGAGATATTGGCATCCCCATGCACGGGAGTTCCTTCTGACCTAGCATTTTAACCAGGGAAAATGGGCGATGTATTCTTCCCATGCTACTTCCTGCTGACTTTGGGATGAAGTTAGGGACCCAAGAAGGTTGAAATGCTAGTCAAAAGCAAAAATGGGAATTTAGGCAATTTGGGGAATCCACCAGGGGCTGTTGGCAGACTCTGTTGCAGAGACGGGGTGTCCACATCAGCCGGACTGGTTCACATCCACAGCAAGTCCAGGGCTCGCAGTCTACTTAGAACAGCCTATAGTCAGCAACAGATGTCTGACATTTGTTTTTTAAACCTTGAGAAGAGTAAGCATCATCAAATAGTCAGTGACATGGTTCACCCAGACTCAGAGCAGGGCTCCCAGGCACCTTCTCCAGCCACTCTTCCTGTCCCACGGAGCCAGACACCCATGAGACAGAAGCAGTGTTGGCAGCAGAACTCTGACCTGCTGCTCTCCCCATCTGGGCAGAGTTTTCTCCTCACATTTGGAGAAAAAGAATGTGAGCACAGTTGAAAGCCCTGGGTGTGTCTTCTAGGACACGGAGAGCATAAGAAGAAAATGGGGAGGACAGGAAGGTTTGTGCTAGTGACAGAAAGGGATCTTTCTGTAATGAAGACTGTCCCTCCCCTGGGAGGTCCCTCACACAACCTGAGGCTTTCCAAGGCTGGGAGAACCCTCCTCCTCACCTTCCAAGCTCCATCCCTATCAGCCAGGAGAGGTCAGAGAAGCAGAATACCAATAGACACGGGGATGGAGCAGGAAGCTCGGGGGTTGGGGGGAAGTGGGGAAAGATTGAGTTTTGTTTCTTCCCATAGACAAGGGCTGGAAATTAAATCCCTTTGCATCTCCCCAGAAAGTCAAAAGACTCCCTTCCAAACCTGGTGCTGATATTACAGAGATCCACTTACCAAGGACTGTAATGTTCTTGACTGTGGTCCTATTGAGGCCAGTGACAGAGTTATAGACGAGGCAGGTATAGGATCCACTATTATTAGTAGAGATGTTGAGGATAAAGAGCTCTTGGGAGGATGCCCGGAGCTCTCCATTGACAGACCAAGAGTACTGTGCAGGTGGGTTAGAGGCTGTGTGACAGGAGAGGCTGAGGTTTGTCCTTGTCTGGAAATGAGTATTTGAGGGGGAGATGATGGGGACATCTGGACCATCTGGAGCAAACAGAAGAAAGCCACATGTGATGTCATCAGAGGGAAGAGGAAATCCTGGTCTGCAGAAGGCCATGCCATCTCTTTATCCGTGCTATAACCTCAGATCAACAGCTACTATTCAGAGCTGGGGTGCAGATTAGAAGAAGAATATTCACGCAGCATGCACAAGGCTTGATCCATGCTAATCACAGCACACAAACAGCCCCACTGTACATCATGTGTGCACTGAGCCTGAGTCTGAGATGCCACCCACCCCCATCACCCTGTCCATCACCCTGAGCCTCTCTAGGCAGAAGTCCCTCTGTCCCATTCTAGCTCAATGCTGGGCCTAGCTATGTGTGCTTGGGTAGACCAGGATACCCTGGGCAGCCTAGGTATGTGTGTGGTGGGTCTGTGTCACGAATCCAAGGGGACTGAGTGTCCTAGCTCTAGCCGTCTGTATTTATGCAATTGTAGCCAGGATGAAACAGACAATACTCACAGGTAATGTTCAGAGTGAAGGGGTCACTTCGGGAGTCGCTCACTAGATTCCGGGTTTCACCCTCATAGGGTCCTGTGTCCGTTCTCACAACAGTGAATAAAGTGAGAGTTGTGTTGTCCTCAGACAGCTTCAGCCTGTCATCTTCTGAGAGGCTTTGGTTATTTATCCTCCACAAGTAGGTTGTCTTCTGAGTCTTGGGCTCACACGTTAATGCTACCGAGTCCTCACCCTCCATGGGATTGGAATTGTTGGTTGTGATTCTGGGCTTGGATAGTGGTTCTGTGCAAACAACAGAGAGAAGATTGCCCTGTCTGGTACCTCTGATTCTTGAATGGGCCTCTCCCAACCAGAGACAGTCTCTTATCACCCCGCCTACCCGGATCCTTAAAGAATCATGTAGGAAACAATTTACATGCAGATGGAGTCGCTGAGTGCTCTGAGATAATGGGGCCTCCTGAGCTGTGCATGGGAGAAGCAAGGGCTTTCTCATGAGTGAGTTGGGCTGCAGTGTTTGGGGATGGACAGACTCAAGCCTTGGAATCAGGGACCTCATTTCACCTCCTGGTCCTCACCGACCCATTGCAGCCTTGACACACAATGCGAGAGTCCTCCCAGCTGCAGTGACCTCCACTGCTCAGTGTAGACCAAGTCCCTCCAAGCCTTTGCTGTTCAGGGCTGTCCTACACATACGTCATGATTAGTCTTTCCATTGAGCTTCCCTGAGAAACCTGACAGCCTGTCAGAGATCTCACAAAGATCACCATCTGGCTGGCCTTCTGTCGGGACCATAGGTGGACCATTTTTTGTCAGGTGTTGGATGTTGATTGACATGTATAAGACAACCGTAAAAGAATCCGGAGTCTATGAAGACATGGCTCAGGGAACCCTAAAAGAATCCGGAGTCTATGAAATGATCTAGAAGCCTGAAGGACGCCTACTAAGGTCTCCACAGTAGGAGGCTGGCAATGTGGCTGTGGACGGATAGCTTGCGCCACCCATGGCCTATGTGGCCCAGACTCAGTGACTGTATTTCAGATTCTGTAAAATGGGACACTTGGTAACTGATCATTGCCATGCCTGGAAGTTAACCTTAAATGTGAACAATGACCTGACCTTTGGCTAAGCAGTATGTGTTACCATTTGCCTCATGAAATAATCCCTGGGTTGGACCCCTGGAGGCCGAGGGGCTGCCCTGTATACAGCTTTTCCTCCTACCTCTTTAGAGCTGATGACCTTCCTGTGAGGTCTCAGAAGACCATCAGATCAGCTGGCCGACTGCCTGTCACACCTCTCTACCTAGGGTGAGCACTCTGAGTCTCAGAGGAGATGCCTGGGTGACCTACCTCAGACATGGCTCTCATAGGCTGACAGTCCGCAGGTCACCAGCCTATAATCAATTATTGTCCCCAGTCAGCTCCAAAGGGAGGTCAAACTCCAACCCAGTCTACAAGCTTCCCAGCATTCCTGGTCCAGCCTGGGATGGAGGTCTGGAGCAAATCTTTGGGTTCTCATTTCTCTGTGAGAACTGGATTGTTTTCTCAGCCAGGCCCTGCCTGAGTCCTGAAGGGTCTTTTTTAAGGCTGTGTTCACAATGAGCATCTAAGACCCTGGGCAGAGTCTGTTATGCTTGGGCTCAGGAACCAAACTGTCTTCTTCGAGGGTGGATTCCAGTGAGAATTCCTGATCCATTTGTCCACCCTGTGTCCTTCACTAAACTTTTAAAACACCATTTGGGGACAATAATACTGAGTCATCCAGGACTGACAACCCTATGTGTGAAGCAGGATTACCTCCACCCATGACTCAGAGGTTACAGAGAATTACTTACGGTGTACATGGAACTGCACGGATGCTTTTTCATTATCAAAGTTTTCCAAGATCATTTGTAGCAAGTAGGTTCCAGTGTCATTCTGAGTGACATTCTGGAAGAGCAGGGATCCATTGTGGTATATTGTCTCTCTGCCACTGTGTGCAGGCCCTAGTATAGTTGTACTAGTGGATACTACAAATCGTGCTATTTCATTACTCGAATTCTCAAACTTCCCCTTGTACCAGTAAAAGACGAGGGATTTCTCTGTCAGATTGTGGACCTGTAGAAGGACGTTTGCCCCTTCTGCAACGTCAGGCGGAACTGCTTCAAGAGTGACTTGGGCAGTGGCGGGAGAGTTCCAGTAGGTTAAAAGTGAGGCTAAGAGGGGAGAGAGAAAAATCTATCAAGGTTAGGACCTTTGTATGTGGTAGAAATTTGAAACCTGAGTGCCCTCAACTATCAGCCTTGGTGTGTGTGTGTGTGTGTGTGTGTGTGTGTGTGTGTGTGTTGTTTGGCTGTGGTCTGCAGCATCACCTCCATTCCTCAGAACCCCTGAATCTGTCCCCTGAATGACAGTGTCTTATTGGGTGTCTACACAGCTCACCCCTCACTCCCTCAGATCCCTGCTCAGAATCTTGGCAGTGCAGGCATGTCTTCTCTGACCTCCTCCTATACAGACTCTGTGCCTTCATTTTCTACCCTTTCCCTGCCCTGTTTCTTCTTATGTGCTTGTCAACCCCTGAGGGCACCTTCTAGGTGTCCTTGCTGCTCTGTCCTCGTGCCCAGTAGCACTAGGACTGTGTGAGGAGAACTAGTTTGATGTTGGTTTAAACCCCACAGCCAGGAACAGGTTCAGATACCTGTGAGACAATCAGTGTCCCAGAGCCTGGGGTTTATTTGCAGGTTTCTCAGGGTCATATGTCATGTTGCTGTTTACTGGCCCCAGTTTAGTTTTACTTGGAGAGTCACAGAGTTGTGAATGTCAGTCTTCAGGGTACAGTGGCCAGTGCTGATAAACTTACAAGGGGGAACAACTGACTTTTCCTTTCCCGCCTTCCAATTTGCATTCACTTTGAGCTTCCTGTTGCTCTCAGGCATCAAGCAGAAGCCAGATGGCCTTTCTCAGACCCTTTCCCTCTTCCAAAGACCCCACCCAGTCTCTGAGCTCCCTTGCTCTCCACCCAAGGAATGTCTCCTCACCTGCAAGCAGGAGTCCCCTCCAGGAGAGAGGTGCTAAGGTGAGCCCCATAGTCTCTGATGCCTGCTAGACTCTTTCTCTGGAGATGTTTGCTTCTCAGGCTGCTGTCAAGCCTGGCTGCTCTGGTGTCTGCTCTGGGTTTCTTCCCAGACTTGAGCCTCCTCCCAGAGGAGGGCACCTCCTGCAGTCACATGGGCTGGGGGTGGAGTCTGTGTGCCAGTTCTGCCTCCCATCCTTTTATTCCTTTCTGGTTCAGTGTTCTAGAACCTCTTTGTGCCCCAAGGCTGAGAAGTGTCCTGTGTCCTGAGAGAATAGCAGCTCACCCCAGGGCTGCCCTCTGCTGTGTCCTGGCCTTGTCTGTTAGCACCAGAGGGAGTCCCTGCATTTCTGTAGCCAAGAGTGTATTTCCTTGTGACACAGAAACCCAGCAGAGCCCAGTCTGCCCTGTGTTTCCAAAGCTCTGGGAAGGTGGGAGTTATCTCTAGTGGTTGGAAAAGGTCTAGCTGAGCGATGACTGTGGAGGATCCAGATCCATCATCACTGGTGTCACCAGACAGGAGTCTGATCCAGGGATACGAGTTATCTCAGGGGTTGTATATCCTGGTGTGCAAGAAGAGGTGACCTGTGTGTCCTAGAAACAGGACTGTGTGCTCCGACTTCCTATGGAGGGCACCAGGGAGACACCCCTCACCCCCATCCTCCTGTGCTGTCTGAATTTGATTCGGGTTTCTCCATGCCCTCTTTGACCTTTCTGGATGCCTTTCTTCTTAGTGTTTTACCTGTGATGTTCCCATCTTTCCTTATAGATGAGGTGTGTGTGTGGGGGGCGGGAACTACAAAGGGTCTCCTTGCAGAGTGGGCTTCTCAGAGACACAGGAAATGACTATGTGAGGGAGCTCCAGCTCTGTTGGAACTGTTCTGGAGCTTAGGTTGCAAGACAGCATCACGCCTCAGGTCGAGTTTTCTCTGTTGATATGTGGTGTATTGCCGCCCCCTGGTGTTCATGAGGAGACCTGCAGCTCATGTCTGGGCTGCCACAAGGATGATAGCCAAGCTCCAAATGCTGTCTGGAGCTAAGCGGCAAGTTTCCCAGCAGAGGTCCCCGTGTGTAGATAGATGCTTTTGAGGATCTAGCTAGATTTTTGCTGGGGTGAGACTATACTAGCTGAGGTTTTATAACAACTGCCATTTTGATCTGCATAGCATCACCATGAAGACTATCCCGTGTAAAGTACGTCTTGTTCTGGGGCAGGAGTATCCAAGTCCATTTCTCACTCTAAAATAGTTTTGTTCCAGCTTTTAAATTTTAGAGCAAACTACATCCATCCATTAACAACATCACTGTTTAGAATTATCAGGTAAAATGAAAACCAAACCAAAGCATGCAGTTCTCAGTGTTGTTAATTCCTGGTGTGTTCATGTTTGAGGTTCAGGGTCAGCAAGTCGGCATTCCCAGGAGTTCTCAAAAATCCCCAGTTATGATGATTTAAGCATATTTCTCCACTCTCTATAACTTTTATAGCTGGAATTCTTATTTAAATAGCAATGCACCCCAAGGTGGTAGTACTTACCAGAACTGCAATGCACAGGGACATTAAACAATGAAGACCACGCCTTCACATTTGGGCCTCCCAGCCAGCATAGTCACATGTGGAATTTGCTGGCTAAGGACCTGTTTTACATTAAAACTTTTTTACATGTTGAGAGAGCATTCAGAGGACCCACTCAAAGCATAGCATGTATGTGAACTCATTAGGGAGCGTTTTGTCTCTTTAAAATTTCCCTTTCATGTTCTCCTTGCTTACTGTTGTACCTCCGAATATTTAATCACATATGTGCATGCATACACTACAGGCTTGGATCCACATACAAGAAAGAACACCCCCCTGGGTGATTGGGTGATCTCATGTGACATTATACATTCTTAGTCAATTTTGTGATTTCGTTTTTTTCTCTAGAGATGACTATTTCTCTTGCTCTATGCACTAGACTTGCATTGTGCAGTCATCTGTTGATGGGCATCTAGAGTGAGGGGTTCCATCTCCTTGCTATACTGAATAGAGCAGCAGTAATCACATGGGTGCAAATATTTTCTGTGGTAGGGTACAGGATCTCTGGGGATATGCCCAGTGAAATCACTGAGTCACATGGCATTTCTAATGATTTGAGGGACTTCCACAAGCTTTATATAGCGACTGTAGTAATTTGCACGCCCACCAACAGTGAACAAGTGATCCTCTTCTCCACATCCTCTGCAATCTGTGTTGCCAGTTATTCGGACGAGAGCCATTCTACCTGGGGTGAGCTGGTGTCTCACAATAGTTTTAATTTGCGCTTCCCTTGTGACTAGGGATCACTGTTGTCCTGTTATTTATTCTGAACACAAAATCCGTATCATATATATGACTTGCAAATGTGTTATTGTCTCTATTCAGTTTTTATTTTTTTTATTTATTTTTTTCGAGACAGGGTTTTTCTGTGGCTTTGGAGGCTGTCCTGGAACTAGCTCTTGTAGACCAGGCTGGTCTCGAACTCACAGAGATCCACCTGCCTCTGCCTCCTGAGCGCTGGGATAAAGGCGTGCGCCACCAAAGCCCGGCCTTCTATTCAGTTTTAATGCATAAACTTACTCCTTAGGTTGACTATTGCTGCGATGAAAAACCATGATCAAAAGGTATTTGGGTGAGGAAACAGTTTATTTCGCTTACACTTCCATATCATTGAAGGAAGTCAGGGCAGGAACTCAAACAGGGCAGGAACCGGGAGGCAGGAGCAGATGCTGAGGCCATGGAGGGGTGTGGCTTACTGGCCTTATAGTTATATCCATCTGCTTTCTTATAGAACCTAAGATTATGAGCTCAGGGGTAATTCCACCCACAATGGACTTGGTCCCCCCCCCCAGTAATCACCAATTAAGAAAATGCTCTTCAGACATTCATACAACAAGGACATCTGTTCAACCATGTTCATAGCAGCATTATTTGTAATAGCCTGAAACTGGAAGCAACCTAGATGCCCCTCAACTGAAGAATGGATAGAGAAAATGTGGTAATTTACACAATGGAGTACTACTCAGCAGAAAAAAGGCAATGGAATCTTGAAATTTGCAGGAAAATGGATGGAACTCCAAAGGAATACCAGCTTACAATCCACACATCCAAAGAAGCTAGTAAACAAAGAAGACCCTAAAAGAGACAAACTTTGTCCCCTGGAGAAGGGGAAAGGGTCACCATCCCCTAAGCAAATTGAGAACATGGGGAGAGGGGGGAGGAAGCTACGAGAGTGAGAAGGGAAGAGAAGGAAGGATGCAGAAGTCATGAGGAAGCAGAAATTTTGAATCAGGTGTAGATTAGAAGAAAGGACATATGACAGGTAGGATTTTAGTTGGGGGTGTGGTAGAGGAGGAAGGGAGGGAGAAGGGAACTCGGATCGTCATGTAATTCAATTTTGTTTGTAATTCCAATATATAAAAATAATAAAGAAAGAAAGAAAGAAGGAAAATGCTCTTCAGGCTTGCCTATGGCCCCATCTTATGGAGGCATGGTCTCACATAAGTCTGGCCTGTGTAAAGAGGATGTAAAATTAACCTGTACACCTACTAAGTAAATTTGACTAAAGCGTGAATGTTGATACTCATTCACAAAACCAACTTTACATTTTTATAAAAATTCTTCTGGAATTTAAAAGCAAATTAATTTTTCACATTTGAAGATCTTTAAAAATGCTTGTTGTGTCCTTTTGCTTCTCAGAAAGCCTTTGGGAGGTAGAGCAGTTCTCTGTTCTTATTTTTCAATGTTTTATAGGAAGGGTTAGGGGAGGCAATTTTGTGTTTTAACTATTTTTCTTTTCTTCAAAGAGTGAAGAGAATGGGTTCACTTACTTTACAAAATATTTAAAATTCATTATTTGACAATTCCATGCACATACAGGTGTGCACACACGGGTAAAGGTATTTTGGTCATATACAAGCCTATCACTCTCTCAATACCTCCCACTCCTGCTGATCCCTTCTCCCTAAAATGCTCTCTTGTACATGCTTCATGTGTGCACATGCGAGTTTTTATTGTTCTGTGTATACGTGAGTGTGTGTGTGTGTGTGTGTGTGTGTGTGTGTGTGTGTGTGTGTAGAGAGAGAGAGGTGTGCACCACAGTGTGATGACTTCAGATGGTAACTTGCAGGAGTTGGTTCTCTCTTTCCATCTTTTTCTCTCCATTTTTAATTTAAATTAGAAACAAGATTATTTTACATG